GCGGTTACTATAATCAAAATAATGATGCTGCATTGACTTTGTAATAGACAATTTAAAAAGTAAAACTGAGTAGAGCCCCAAAACAGAACCACATAGGATATTTGTCTGAAAGCAAATAAAGTTATGCCCTTTTTTTCATACCATATGCAAAAGCAATTCTGGATGAGTTAAAATCTGAAAACATCAGAAGGAAGTTGAAAAGAAGTATCTGTGTGACCTCTGTAATGACGACCCCTTTAACTCAGAGAAAAGAACCCTGAAACTGTAAAAGAGAAAACAAATGAAACTGACTACATAAAAAGTCCTTAAATTTTCTATAGGGCAAAAGATGCCAAAAATTAAGCCAAATGAGAAGTGAAAATATTGCAAGAAAATACTTGCATATAACAAAGGAACCATGGAAATGCAGATCAAATGAAAACAGGAAATGTCTTTTTTCTCCCATAGGGTAAATACAAATCCTGTATTTGTAACATCCTGTGCTGGGGAGAGGGTGGCAAAGGGCACACTTATAAAATGCTCCTGTGGTTAGGAATGACTACAATCTTCTGTGGAAGTTAATCTGGCAACGTCCAACAAAATTCTAAATTTGAATACCCTGTGGCAATTCCACTTTGGGGAATTTGCATTCAAAAACAAGGATTGGCCCCTAAGGTTAGATAAGCAGCAATGTTTGTAGAGACGGAGAACTGCTACAACCAGAATATCTCCAACAGGAGGAGAATGGAATAAATTATGATAATTCATACTATGGACTCTAATACAGTCATTACAAATAATGGGGATAATGATAATAATGGGTTATGGCTGGGGATATTTAGTATATACTAGACTTAAAAAGTCACAGAGTAAGGTGTACAGTACAATCCTTTTGTAAATCTTTTTAAAAGAAAAGAAACATATTCCACACATATACATAAATTTTCACACTTTTGTGATTGTAAAGAAAAGCATGGAACATTACCCAACACTGGTAACACAGGTTACCTCTAGGTATAGAATTGGGATAGAAGGAGGCACTGCTCTCATTTTTTCTTTGTTTCAGTTACTGCAACAAGTATATACTGCCTTTGGGCTATGAAAAAATCCAACAGTGTTGCTTTTACAGAAAAAAAAATATACATACACACATACATACACAGTTACACAGTCAGCTCCCAATGACTATATCTTTATCAACTATGTAACTGGTAATGTGGATAATTCACATTGTGAATTTGTCTCTGATGTCCTGGGACTTACGAAATTTTCAAAGAAACATAATGAAGCTTCCCTGCTAAAGGGTAACTACTCAAGACCTAGCTCCGTGAGTCTTAGAAACTCTCCTTATAGATCACCAGCTCTCAAAATGGGCTGGACCTTCATCTATGAGGGAGTCAGTCCACCCCCCAACTCCCCGCTGGGTAGCAAGGACCCAGAGCAGGAATGCCATTTGAAGGTGGTCTGCAGGTGATTGATATACCAACTGCCCCGCTGCCTCTCTCCACCTTTGCCAAGGTACTCCCTAAACCTTACATATCCATCCCGAATGTGATGCCTCGCCAAATTTTTCTTGAATCTTCACCTTTCCATGCATGTTTTGTGTTTTTCCTAAGAAACAGGTGTGACCTCCTTGAGGCCTTTATGACTCTTTACTACTGTGCTTTTTTATTCCATCCCCTCTGCCTCTGCCTGGGGCGGGAGGGGGGGGGGTGGTGAGGTGCGCAGTTTAAGTCTAAGGGCTGCAAGTATGGCCTCTAACTTCAAAGCAACTAAGTTCAAACCCAACAATGGCCACTTCTTAGCGGGGTAACCTTAAGCAGGTGTGATGGTTAATTTTATGTGTCCACATGACTGGGCTAGAGGATGCCCAGATAGCTGGTAAAAGGTTTCTGTGAGTGTGTGGGAGAGATTAGCATTTGCATCAGTAGACTGACTAATGGCCCTCACCAAGATGGGCAGGTATCATCCTATTCTTTGAGGGCCTGCAGAGAACAAAAAAGACAGAGGATGGGTGATTTCACATTCTCTGACTCAGCTGGGACATCCGTCTTCTCCTGCCCTTAGATACCAACACTCCTGGTTCTCAGATGTTCAGACTTGCACCAGGAATTAAACCACTGACCCCTGGTTGTTGGCCCTTTGGACCCAGAGTGAATTATACCACCGGCTTTCCTGATGGCAAGATCACGGGCTTTCTAGGCTTCCATGTCAGCCAGTTCAAGTGAATGAAGGAGCAAGCTATTGGTTCTTTCTCTGCAGAACCTCGACTAATAAATACAGCAAGTGATTTAATCGCCCTTCATCTCAGTGTGCTCAGCAGAGGCTGCCAAGATTTCTTAGGGCTCAGGCCCAGCATTGAGACTGCCTCTGTTATCAGGATTCTACTGGCTAAGCAAGTCAGAAGCCGGGTCCAAATTCAAGTGGAGGGAACTGCACAAGAGCGTGAGCACCGAGGGCCACAGACGAAATGTGCTATCACACCATATAAGACACTAAGCTTTAACGTCTGGCATGCAGTACGGGCTCAAAAAATGTGAGCTCTTTTTCTGATTCATTACTTTTTCTTAAATAGAGGCAACTCATTTTTACAGTGAGTCTTCATTACGTGCAAAGCATAGAGAAGGCCTAGAAATCTAGAGATTTCTAGAGCCCTCATATTTCATTACAGAAGATGCAGAGGAACCAGAGTGTGGCCCTAACCCCACAATCTGATTTCAGTATAAAGTCAGATACCCCAGTCACTGTTCTTAAATGAAAAATACCCTTTCAGGGAAGTTTCCAGGTCTCAGGGGATAGGCATACATAAGGTAAGGGGCCAATGTTAACCACTCACAGCCATGCTAACATGCAAACCTGTCCCAGCATAACTAGAATCAACCACCACTTCTACAAAGGACAGAAGCAATACGTGAAAAATGGAATACACTGTATTAAAAGAATTTCAATGGTGCTTGCAGCAGATTAAGTTTGAAGAAAGAAAACAAGGCAATGAGAAAGTGGATGTGAGGGGGTAGGGTAGGAGATAGATGGAGGGTGGAGGTTACTTTAAAATCTCAAAAATGTAGGCAGAGTTTGTTGTGTTCATTGTTGTCCCCAGAACCCAGAGAAATGCCTGCACATAGACACAATTGCAGAACCACTCTGAATTGTGGGAAGTTAAAACGAATAGGTTGTAGTCGTTGAAAGGAATAACACCGGAAATGCACAGTGAATTATTGTTTTACATACTTACTTGCCTCTTTAGACTAAACTGGAGTATGAATTTTTCACATGAATAGTTTTACCACCGTGTCCAGGTAATGTTTTCCCTTTTGGCTTTATTCTTAAAAGGCAGCTGTTTTTCATTGCCCTTTGGGAGTACCAAAATCATAGCTAAGGCTAAGTGGGAGAAAGGGAGGCTCAGGGAGGAGCCAGGAAGTGAAGCTAATTTACCAGTCTGCCACCTGTAGGCTGGTTGCAGCAGACATAAACATCAGTGCCCACAAAACAGACGACATGAAAATAATGCATATTAAATAATGCTAAAAACTGAGCAACAGATGTGTGAAAACTATATTTAGTGGTCCGTTTGAATCATGGCTCCCCGGTTCCTGCCTCCAACCTCCTCTCTCTGATTTAAACACTCTGAGCTGTGGCCACACATACTGTTGTTCCTAATCAGCTCTCCAAGACTCAACTGTGGTCTGAAATAAGCTTTGAAAATTAATACCCCCATTAGGATGAAGGACCACACCTGTATCGATCAGGGTGTCTCACAGTCAGTTTTACTCAGATCCCATTTTAAAAACCATGCGTGAACTTGGGAGACCAGAGGCCATTACAAAAGAGCAACAACACGAAAAAAGCAAAGCTGGGTAGAATTGTTAAATTTCAACATTCGAGAACAAACAGCAAACGTTCATTACAAAGGCTTAGTTTGGATTTCTGGAGATGGAATTAAAACATACTGAGTGTGCAGCTTAAGCCTATAAAATGTACTCCAGCACCATAAACCAAATGTAGTTACAGATGTCAAGAGTTCTCAGAACAAGTGCTTCTCTTCACAAATGCCCTGCGTGTATTTCTTCCATTTCCGTAAGTCCATTCTTTACTAATGTAAGGAAAACACAACTTTCATCAAAAGGCTATAAAATGCCCCCCCCCCCCAATTAACTCTTGGGGACGGACAATCACTTCCTTAAAATAGAGCTCTCCTGGTGGCTTTCTCCTGTGGAGGATTCTTAGTCACTGGCTTCTCTAATTTGGGGGTCAACAGCCTGAAAATCGGGCACCATGGAGGTCTGAAGCTCAGAAAACACGCCCCCGGACGCCGGCTTCGGGTCGCCTGCACAGTCCCGCCGCCCCCAGAGCACTGCGTTCCAGACGCACGCGGGAAACGCGAAATCCCCAACGCCAAGTCTCTGAATGGCCGCAGGGGGACCAGCCGTTCTCCGCGCCGGGACTGACCAGCACCCGGACAGGACGCGCCCAGCGCGCCGCACCACCACCCCCCCCCCCGCCCCGCCCCAGGCCCCAGCTCCGGCCGCCGCGAAGGCGAGACGCGCGCAGAGTCGCAGCCCCGCACCCGGTTCGGACCCCGCCTCCCCGCTTCTGTCAGGGCCTCTTGGCTGCTGGGTCCGGCACCGAGTCTGGCCGGGGCGCGTCGCGAGTCGCGGGTCCCCAGAGCGCAGAGTCCCCGAGGGCCCAGTGGAGACCCCGCGGCCGGTCGCGCGCGCGCTGCCCACCCTCACCCGGAGGAGGGCGGGCGCCTGGCTTAGGTTCCCTCCAAGAAAAGTAACTCGGGGCAGGGATCAGAAAGCGCTCAGCGATATGCTCCGAGAGCGGTAAGGTCCCCGGAGTTATTCAGCCCGGAGTTTTCTGAACTGCACCCCGCGCTGCAGCTCGGGCCCGGGTGTTCTGCGCCCCGAACTGAGCCTCGGTGCCGTCCCGGGCGGCCATACAGCCTCGGGGCCCGGAACACACCTCCCCTGCCCGGCCGAAGACACTCTACCGGCCAGCCCAGAAGCGGAGTGGCGGACAGGGCCGAGGTGGTGACGCCAGCGCTGATGCTCACCACCGCCACGATGAGGCATCGGCGCCATCTGCGTGGCCCCGAGCGCCAGCACGATGCGGGAGCGGCCCGGGCACTCGCGCAGGCGGGACAGGCTGGGGCAGCGCGGCGCGGGCGCGGGGACGAGCTGCATGCCCTGCTCCCGGCCCGGGCCTCGCCGAGCCCGCACGCCTCTTGCTCCCCGCCCGGCCTCGGCGCGCTGCCGCCGCCTCTCCTCACAGAGGGTCCGAGGCAAGTTGCCGGGTGAGGGGACGGCCTTCCCGCGGGCCGCAGGCTGCGGCGGCCGCGCTCCGGGATGCCGGGCCGGCCGGGCGGGCGAGCCGGGTTCGCCCGCCCCTCCGTGCCCGCGCCCATGCCGCCGCCGCCGCTCCGCAGGCCGCCCGCCGCAGCCGCCGCGCTGCGCCCTCTCCCGCCCGCCCCGCGCGTCTCTCGCCCGACGCGGGCGCGAGCCGCCGCCGCGTGCCGAGGCGAGCCTCAAATCCCCGGGCGCCAGAGCCCCGCTGCCGCCTGGCCGGGACGGGGCGCCTGGCCGAGGCGGCTGAGCCGGCGGCAGGTGGGCGCAGGTGCGGTCCCCGCGGCCGGGCCTCGGCGCTCTCGCCTCCCGCGCGGGACGGGAGTGGGGACCGCAGGCGCGTCAAGGTCGAGGGCAGCAGCCTCCGCGACCGAACCCTGAGTCCGCGGGAGCCGGGCCCCGAGGGCCGGCCGGAGCAGGCCGGGGCCAGCCTGGGACGGAAGCTCGCGGCGGCGGGCGGGGGCGGGGGGTGCAGGGGGAGACCGCGCGGCCAGTCGGGGAGAGGAGAGGAGGTGAATTCCGAGCGCGCTGCCCCAGGTGTGGCGCGCAGCAGCGCCTACCAAATGCGGAATTCCAAGATCCAAGATGCCGCTTTTCTGCAGTTCCGCAATTTCCCAAGCCATCGTCTGAGAACTGGGCCCGGGAGGACTCGGCATTTAAAACATTCCCAGTTCACAAACGGACGTCTCTTACCCACCTTTAGTTTGCAGGGCTCCTGATGCAAATGAAAAGTTTGGGCTTAAAACAAATTGCACAAAACGAATTTAAATGAACAACGTCAGTAAGGGCCTATTAAATCGTCCCTACTCCCTTTAGCGAGTATAAGGTTTTAAATTGATTATCAGCTTCTTTGAGATGCCAAGAAAACTTGGAAGTTCTGATTGTCATAATTCGCTTTGTGGCCCTGTTGATGTGACAACTTTAAGACCGCTGGTGTTGAAAAGGATGTGTTCACGTATTAAGAGACCCAGGAGTGTTAGGAAGTCTGAAGGAATCAAGCTAAAAAGGCAAAGTTCATAGTAATAAAGGGCAATGGGAGGTCATTCCCCAGGCCATTTTTTCACAATTGTACTGTGGAACTGAAGGAGTCGCCTGCTGGACCCGAAACACTGGAGAGTCTCGCCCGGAACATCTCAGTTGCTGGTGCTTGAAATTTCACCGTTAGAGATATTGATTCCTTTGGGGCTTGACGAGGCTCTATTAAAATGCAAATTCCTCTTGAAGGGGCAATAGCTCAAGCCTTTATCAGCCAACACCTTAGCAGGAATGGGATTTATTTTCCAATTTAAAGGGATGGCCAAGGGATGAACTGGGGGTGGGGAATTCCACAGATAAAGTGGCTGACCTCAAAAAGCTGGACTGTGGCCAAACTCTGCTTTTTCCTCCAGTTTTTATCTATAACATGGCTGAGCCTCAGGCTGGCGTCATTTAGAGCACTGGAGTACAAATTCAAATTTCCTGGAGACATTCTCTATCTAGAAATTCTCAGGCAGCACTTTTTAAGGTCTTGGCACAATACCAAAGCAAGATCCTTGGACTGCCAGGATGTTAGGTTCTCACTGGAGTCACCTCCCTCCTTCATCCATTTCTCCACAATAGTTTACAAGGGATTCTTAGCACCAGGCCCTCTTAGGCTCCTAAAATACATAAGTGAACAAAACAGACAAAATCCATGTCTTCTGGGTAGGAGAGAAACAGACAGTAAACAGAATAAATAAGTAAATTACAGAGTTATTGAATTATGTAATATTCCAAAATTATGTTAAGCACCCACTATGTGCCAGACACTGAGGATGTAAGGATTAGCAAAAGCCACCAAGGTAAGGAATGTTCAGTCTAGTGGTTAGATTGACAGTACACAGATCATTGTTCCAAGACCTACTGCAGCTGGGTTCAGTGTGACGGAGAGTTCTACATGGTGCCAAAAACCAGATAATAAGGAGCTTTGGAAAGAGCTTTCTGACCACAATATAGAAAATGTGGTGCCTAACTAGGGTATCTGTCCTATCCGTTGGGGGTCCCCTAATATGGGGTGATGGTCAGGTGGAAGCCCTTGGCAAGGGAGGTGCCTCTCACCTGAGGCAGAACAAAAGAGATAGAAGGGAGCAGTGGACAGGACAGCTGAGGAGAGGTGGTGGGAAGGTGCTGCTTTTAAGGAGGGAAGGCAAGGAGGTAGGGCTACAAATGGAATTTTCTCTGTCTTGGTAACTGTGCCTAGTTGTAAGTAGCCCATTGGTCAGTTAAGGCCTATGGATATTTTGAGGTGAATTGCCTAATGGGCCTGTCTGTATCCAGCCAGGTGGTCACTGTGGGACCTTTCCATTACTCAAGTCTGTTTGCCTAAAAGCAACCTCTACAGAAAATGGATTGAGGGATGCCCAAGAGAATGTAGAGTTTACATGTTATTGCTGTCAGGAAATGACAGTATTTTGGATTAAGGTAGGGATGATGGAGATACCCAGAACTGGATGGATTTGAGCTACTTGGGAGGTATCAGTGATGAATTAAATATAGTGTGGTGCCAGTTGGCACATCATGGGGAGAGTACCGAATGTTAGAAACCTCCAGTGAATTCCCATTTATGTATTAGATGTGCTTCCAAAATGTATGGAAATCAGTACCTTCTATTTATAAATGACATGGAAAGAGAGCTCCAGGCGGCACAGCAGAAGATTTTGGTGTTGGTGGGTTAGGGGAGGGATCTACTTTCTCTGTGAAATGTGATTTGGGGGCAAAGGGAGAGACTGATCCAGAAATTAAAATAACTTCACCATTTTAAAAATGATTTCTGAATTGTAGAGAATTTTAAAATTCTGTTGTAGTTAATGCAATAGCCAATGTTCTCTTGATAAACAATTGGAATTTGGAGATATAAACAGAGTCATTTTCATGGAAGTGAATCAGAAAGGAAGGATGGATGGAAGGAAGGAGGAAGGGAGGGAGATGGCTTAGCCCTAGCTCTGATCCTAACAACTCACTGGCCTTCTTTGCTCCTCAGTGTTTTTCTCTTACAAAAGGCTACAATAGTACATGTCCTAGTATTATGGAAGATTCTTGGAGATCCCTGAAACCACGTATAACAACTTTTTTTTCTCGCTAGATCAGATGAGACTAACAGACTGAGACCATATCTCCTTTAAAGTATCAAAAAAAAGTATGGAGACAATGAGGAAAAACTAGGCAAAGGTTAAAGAGAAGGAATCCAGAAAGGTGTGTGCACCATCGGGGAATCTTCTGCCCTGGACACTTATACTTCTGGCTTTGGCAGACAAACAGTGTTAGAAAGACAAATTTTGAGTCCAGGACCCTGAAAAATAAGGACCCAGTGCATCAGTCCCCTGCTTTGTGATAGAACCCTAGATGGCTGCACCCAGGGAGTAAGGGAATAAGCCACCCTTTGCTCTATCTGCAGATGCCCAGAAGTCCCAAACCTGAATTTGACTTAAAGTAATCCTTCATTGCCTAGGCCACGAGGAGCTGGCAAAAGCAATAGCAAATCACTCTGGAGAATGACAATCTCACCCCAGGCCTCAAATTATTTCTACAAATAGCATCTTAAAAATTCATTTTAACTCCCTCAACATGATAAAGGGAATTTATGAAAAACCCACAGATCATACCATACTCCATGGTGAAAGACTGAAAGCTTTCCCCCAAGATCAGGAATGAGATAAGGATGTCTACAGTCAACATTGCTACTTAACATCATACTAGAAATTCTAGCCAGAGCAATTAGATAAGAAAAGAAATAAAAGGTATCCAAACTGGACAGGAAGAATTAAAACCATCTCTGTTTGCAGAATGATATGATCCTATATTTATAGAAAATCCCAAAGAATCCCCAAGAAAGCTACTAGCAGTAATTCAACAAAGTTGTAGGGTATAAGATCAACACACTAAAATCAGTTGTGTTTCTATGGACCAGCAATGAACAATCTAAAAGAGAATAAAGCAATTCCATTTACAATAGCATCTAAGAGAATAAAACACCTGGCAAATTTAAGGACATGAAAGACTTGGATGCTGAAAAGCACAAGAAATTAATGAAAGAAATTAAAGACTTAAACAAATGGAAAGACACTGTGTTCATGGTCTTCTATAAGAAGACTTTATATTAAGATGTCAATACCCAAAGTGTTCTACAGATTCAAAGAAATCCGTATCAAAACTCCAATAGACTTTTTTTTTTTTTGCAGAAATGGGAAAACCAATCCTCAAATTCATATGGAATTGCAACGGCCCCAAATAGCCAAACAGTCTTGAAAAAGAGGAAACAGTTGGAAAGATTCATACTTCCAGATATAAAAACTTACTACAAAGCTATAGTAATCAGTATACAGTGTGGTACAGATATACAGATAGACCATTAGAATAGTATTGAGGGTCCAGAAATAAATACATCTATCTTAGGCCAACTGAGTTTTCACAAGTTGCCAAGTCTGTTCAATGGGGAAAGAATAGTCTCTTCAACAGAGAGGGCTGAGACAACTGGATTTTCACATGCAAAAGAAAGAACTTGGACCCCAGCCTCACACTATATATAAAAATTAACTCAAAATGGATCAAAGAGCTAAATATAAGGGAAAAACCATAAAACTTTTAGAAAAAAAACAGGTATATATCTTCATGATTTTGGATTTGGCTGTGGAGTCTTAGATATGACACGAAAACCATGAGCAACAAAAGAAAGAATAGACAATTTGTACTTCATCAAAATTAAAAACTTTGTGCATCAAATAATGCTATCATGTAAGTAAAAAGACAAGCTATAGAATTGAAAAGAAATATTTGCAAATTATATATCTGATAAAGTTTTACTATCAAGAATACATAAAGAACTC